TTTGTCCAGAAAACAATTTGCTGTACTCAAGCACCAATGGGTTCTTGCATTGAACTAAAATGACATATTTTTCACACTTACTTTCCCAAGATTATAGGGAGAAAAATTCCTTTATAGTAGCAACTTCTGTTGAGATCCAGGAATGACTACATGCAGAACGTGGAAAAAATCTCCTCTGAGAGTTTGTTAAAAGATTACTAAACCTTCTAAATGCTCTTTAGAGAAATTAAGAATATTCAGATAACTTTCGTATGACATTCCTAAGTACCAATGGTGTTGTCTAAATCAAATCCAAGCTTCACATCATTATTTAAAGTATGTTGAAATTTTAAATTATGCCAGATGTAAAATGACGGGGAAGAGTTTTGATTTTTGGTGAGGTATATATTTGTGTCAGTAGAGACATCACTACAACTTTTGTAATAGGTAACAACTCAAAATTACCCAAGAAGAAGCAAATGCCAATCTACTCTACTTATTACGTTCCTTTACCATTTGCGTGTGGATTTACTTTCAGGTGATAATACAATCATGCTTGGTATTAGTAATAAAATGGCTTAACATAATTTTTTACTTACCTCCCTCTCAATTAACTCATGTCCATACAGTCAGGAGACTAAGGAACCGGTCATCTCAATTCTTTTCAAGACAGTCATTGATTTTGGGTGCCCTACAACTAAAGATAAAATGGAAGCACTCATCATCTTCACACAGGCCCTAATGAACCTAAATTTTCATGATATAGCATAGAATCATAGAATGGCCTAGGCTGGAAGGGACCTTAGAGATCATCTAGTCCAACCTCCCTGTCATGGGCAGGGATGCCACCTCTCGACTAGACCAGGCAAACATGAGGTCCGAGCGGGAATCGAACCCGCGACCTCGGTGTCGGTCATTGTTGTCGGCATCGCGCTCAAACCACTGAGCTAACCGGCCATGTTCTGCAGTAACTTATTTCAGATAAAAAAACAGTAGTAAAAACGACAACAATTCTGATTTTTGATCTAAGTTAAACACTGCTTTGGTTTATGGTAATGATCCTGTGAGGTGCAGGTTGACAGGGAAGACCCACAGTATTTAGGTTGGATACACATCTGAGAACTCACAAAATGAGTCTTCCACTTCTTAAAAAGTTTGCTACGCTGTGACAGCTCAATTAAATGGTATGTTCCTATTCTGTGCCTTTCGTCCATTACTATTAGCCCAATAATATCTATATAAATGTTTATAATATAGTTTCTTCCATCGTATGAAATGAAACAAATACATATCTACACAGCACAAAGACTGCATGAGGGTTTATAATGATAATGCCAGAAAACAAAGAAAAATTCTTAAAAAAAATCAAACAAGTGTACTGGTAAGATATTTTAAAAAGTAGATCAGTCCTTATCAGCAAATAACAGGCTTAGACTCTCTTTTCTAGCTGTAGTCAATAGACAACACTGTTCTTTAACCTAAATACAGGAAAAATTCACAGAAGTAAAGCAATTAATAGCTGACTTCAAACATGAGTAAACTGTATTAGCAAAGCTGACAGAAATTCAATTTTACATTTTTAACCAGACTAATTCATTCGACTCTCATTATCATTAGCAAATTACTGTATAAAGCTTTTGCTTACAAAAAGATAAGTTAATTCCTTTAGACTATGGAGGAACATTATCCATCGTAAGAAAGGGGACTGCAGTCTTAATAAAGCCCATTCTGTTAAAAGATAACACTAAAACGTCCTTGCTGCAGCATGTCTTATCCTTGTAGGAGAAAAGCTTCTCACATTACAGAGCTGAGTTTCCATCTTTGTGAGCAGACTGATAGTTAATCTGATTCATTTTGTCCTATTCTGGGCTTCATATCTGTTTTCATCCTTATGCTTCAGTATTGCTGGAATGAGAACAGCTGTGAATGGGCACGTTCCTATCAGCACGTTCTTTGGAGGATCTGTACATGGGCTCTGATAGCAGCCTAAATAAGTCTGCTCCTATTCTGAAGAAAGGAAAAATGACAGTTTCATAAATCTTCTGTCAGTGTTTAGCATCTTATTTTCAGCAACATTTTCCATCACCTGCATCTGAAATCCATCTTCTTCACTGCACAAAAATGTATTCAAAGAGAACGCAAGCTGTAGCTGGTTACATTAGGCAACTGCATGTTTTTTCAATAGTTTTTTCAATACTTTAGATTTTATGCAGATGTTAATTTGTATTAACACTTCTGAAATCACATCAACGCAGTAACAATAAAATACTATCTTCTCCTCTGTTCTCTTCCTGTTCCAAGCTGTAGCTTGTTATGCTCTAAAGTGCAGGAGAAGGCAAAGATGATTTTAAGCTGTCTTTATTTCCCTCCAGGCTTAGAGACCAAAGGAATAATAATCATCTTTGTTGTGAACTACATTTCCAAGTTACATACAGGCTGCTTTGCACCTAAAGAAGGCACAAAGCCACGAATTGTTTACCCTCTAGTCCCACGTCTAACATAAGGATACATATAAAGGCGTAGAAGGCGACCAGTGCACCAGGTCTATGCACATCAAATCCTGAAACAATGGGAATTCCTATAAACAACATCTGAACAACATCTGAATTCTGTATGTAATATAACAGCAAGGGAAAAGGTAAATTGGAATCTACCATTTTATTTTGACCCTTCATAGAACCCTTGCTAAGCAATTTTCTGAAAAAAGTTTCCACCCAAAAATTCAAATCCTATCTAGAAAAAGAATGGAGAATATGAACTGCAGGATCACAAAGAAAAAGCCTCAGTTAAAATACGCTGGAAGAAAATGAAAAACAAAAAGACAAACAAAACTTGCAGTTTTCATGGGCTGGAACTGACAGAGCCACCAGTGTGTTTTTTTAGGATGCACTCTAGTGGACACACATATAACAAAACCAAACAAAAACACATGTTATGAAAACACAGAAAATTAAAAGCACATGTTGGATGTAGTAATTAGAATTATTTAACAGAATGTGTTTAAAATACTGTCTTATAACTTGCACATATTTCCTAATTCAATATGATGGTTCTGTGAAGGCTGAGATATTCATAATCAACATGATTGGACACAAAATTTAAATGGACGCAAGTTACTTAAGAATTTTTGAAATTTTTAAACTAAATAACGAGATTCAGTTATACATACTGGCTAAAAGAGAAACTCCATCTATTTATCTAGTTACTCCATCCCTTTGAGACTGGCACAGGAAGCTGCAATGCACACAGTGTGAAGAGGGGTAATTAGAACTGTAGTATCTTAAAATGTAGCCTTACAATGATGCTATTTTTGTGTTACTAGTAAATATAATTATAAACCATGATAAAATCAGTTTACTGGACTATCAACCATAAGGGCATATTCATTCCACAGAAAAGGTTCTTGACTGTCATAGAAATTGCAAAACTATACTAATGCAGAATGCAGAATAAAAATAGACAGTGAAGCTTGGCCACCTAGTCACGTAAGTAATTCCACTTTTCATCACCTAAAAAGATACACAAATATTTCTAAGTATTTATACCTGGAAAGTGACATTTTTCTCTTTTGATTTTAAGATTGTTCATATATGACATACCAATTAATAGCGTCCAAAAAGCAATATGGCAATAAGAAAGGCAACAGAATTTTTTAAATAAACATATTTTATTATTTTTAAAGGGAAAATAATATACTACTATACTGGAAACCAACTGTGCTTACCTTTTAAAAACTGATAGGATTATGCTATAGAACAAAAGTTATTTAGAGAAAAAAAATATTATGTGTTGACCCTTGCCTGTTGGGTATACAGATACTGCTGACAGTTTGCCAAGGAAAACAAAACCCTTAAACACAGATATAATACAAAACAAATTAGAGTGAAATTATCCCCAAAATTTCTTTCATCCCAAAACTGAAGAATTCAGTGAATCCACTAAGTATGCACTGAATTTGTACTGAGGAGTATTTTCATTGTGCAAGATTGGCAATGACTTAATGTTTTTTATCCAACTGACCTGTACTATCAGAAGACACTCAAAGGTAATGGCATATTTTAGCTAAGAAGCGTAGGATTTCTTAATGCTGCTGTCTTTTCCACTTATAGTGAACAGACTTGACAGTCTATACCAAGATATCAGTGATTACAGAAATCTATTCTTAGAAAATTTAATGAAATCTTTAAGGATTAGAAAACAATTTTTATATATAAATATGAATTTGAATATTAAATATTAAATTCATAAGTGAAGTTTTGAGAATAATAGCATTTAGTAAAGACATGGATATAATTAATTGATCTGCAAATCCAAGATAAATGTAGAAAATATTATTTTAAGCCTTCACTAATCAAAAGTGATATGCACACTTGCAGCTCACCTAGTATCACACAATAACCAGAAAAGGTTAGTTCAAAGTCTAGAGCAAACAATGTTACAAAAGGCACCTCAAGACTTCCAAGACAGACAAGATCTTTCAGTATATGTCTACTCAATCACACAGTGTTCAATTTATCTCTTCCAGATAAATTTGAAAATTTTACTGATTTGATTTTTGCATCTAGTTTGATGTGCATAACTCTTTCCTATCTTCTAACCTGCAGAGCACTCCCTCTTTCTACCAGAAACCATTCAAATTCCTGAAAAGTCCTTTTTAAATAAACTTTTATTCTTTTAATATTGATTAAATTATCATATTGTATCCTCTACGCCAAAGTAATCTTGAAACATTAATCATATCTATAATTATTATGGTTATAGTTCAAGAATCAAAGGGCAATAAGTACAAAATACATTTACTGCTTCCACTTCAATTGCAGTTTTCTTCCTCCGAGTCAGCCATGCTAGCTACAATGGCTCAAGAACAAAAAGGAAGCATCATATATCAGAATTAACAGACTTTATAGAAACACCCAGAAAACACAGAAACTGAAACAACAGGTAAGTACATCAGTTTCATATATGACATACTCAAATCAAGATATTAACTTCAGGATGAGTGGGAAACATATTTACTGCTTTTAGGTCGGTTCGGAACTTTCTTGTTCTGCTTGTGGCACGAGATCCGTTACACTCTAAAAAACAAACAAAAAAAGTCTATGAGTTGTCAGCATTAACTGAATTTGCAAAAAGGAAAAAAGAAAAAAAGAAAAAAAAGAAAAAAATCCACATGACAGACAAGTTGTTATTCATCAACATCATTACATATTCTTCCATTCAGTAAAATATAAAGTTTATCCCCAGACTTTTATTATAAAACTCGTTGAGTCTCTATCGAGTATTACAAGTCTGAGAGCAATATAGCTGCAATAGTACAACTATATATTTTTACTTCTCTGTTCTTAACGTGTAGTTTAATTCCACAACCATATCACTGTGAAACCTCAAATAACATCACCAAAGGCCAATGTAATACAACTTGCAATGACCTCAGGTATGACAACATGGAAGATGGCACATACAATAAGAAACAGGGAGTTTACTACTCGTTTTCAGTTCTGGTTTTGCAATTCACTTATTTAAGAACACATAAATTATGCCTGAAGCCTCAAGAATACTTTTTAATATGTAATTATCAGAAAATTATAAAAATGGGGGCTATACGAGATCTTGAGAACTCATCTGATTTACCTTAGTTAAAAAAAAAACTATGAAAACCTCGCCTTAAGAATTGTCAAAGGTATGTTCATAAATATTTTTAGAGAACACTTATAAAACAGACTGTTACGAAAGCAACCTTAAGCATAAATCATATTAATTTCACAATATAAAGTCCGAGCTAGCATTATACTACTGATACCAGAAATTAAGTGAGCAAAGTATGAAGATGAATAGAGAAAAAAGGGTTCTGATAATGACATGCTAAAACTAGTATATCAAAATCTCCAGTCATACTACTTGGAATACTCTAATTGGCAAAAGTCAGGCAGATACCAGTATCTTTACAACCACTTAATACTCATGAAGCTGAGTGATTTTGCAGGAGTTGGCATCATCTGTTAAATGTACTGCCAGGCCTTAAAATAAATGAAGGCTGATTCATGTTCTCTCATTTCACTAGTCTGTCAAGCATAAAAGGAAATTAAAAAAAAAAAAAAAAGAACTGGGCATAGATGTCTGAGGATGACAACATAAAGCCATTGTTGCAGCACTGAAAAGCAGCACATTCGTGTTGGCACAGGGCTCAGACAACCTGCTTCCCTTCAGGTCTGAACCTTAGTGAGCACTGCATGTCCTTAGTATCTGATGTTATACTTTAAATGTTTGCTCAGATATCTCTGCACAAGAGCGTGTTCTGCTGCACAGAAAATACACTTTACACCAAAGAGAAAAATATAAAACCCAGCATTCATTCAAAATCCCATCTTCTTGTGATTTAGTACATGTGGTATATGACTATCTGTTCACATGGCAAAGGAAGCCTGCCACCTCTGAGAATACTCAGACTTTCATTTGCAACATCTCTGAATACAAAAGGGTATTTTCAGTCTAGAGGGTTCAGTCAGCCACCACCACACAGTCTTTTAGAATGGCTTAACCTGTATCAGAGAAGAGGCTAGGGGCAGTTTGGAGGTTGTGGCCAAAATACCATCCCTTAAAACCACAGGAGCAAACCAGTACAGTCTTAACTGCAGAGATTTAACCTCTGATATGTCAGCACAGAAAAGCAAATTGTAAGAATCAATCACCTATAATTTCCCTTTTTTTTCTAAACACTCACCTCAGACTGCTCATTCTCATCTAGCTCCTCAACTCTGGTCAAATTAGGTAGTCCAGCTATGTCTGTAAGTTCGGCTATCGTCTTTTCATTTTCCTGTGGCAACAAGAACCAGTTTTCAGTTAAAAGTATTCCATGTTGTGAATAATTGTCTACAGAGAATATTTCAGATATGTTAAAATTACAGTATGCATTAATATAAAGCAGATACATCACATGCATGCTATGCAAATATGATAGTATGTGAATATGGATTCTGTATGCTTAAGACTAGGCATTTTTTTAAGTAACAAGAATTTTGGTTTAAATTTCTACATATTCATTTTTTATGCTACTTTTGCACTGCCATCATTCTACATTTATGTTCTGTCAGTATTTTAAGAGTGCTCTAAAAATGTGCATGCCTCCAAAATACGATGTGCTCCATGTAAATATAAGAGCTACTCACATTTAAAAGTTTTGAGATCACCATGCCAATTATCAGTCTATGCTTTTACCAAAATAGCATGAAAAGATCATACATTTACACGGACATCTGTATATGCGCTCTTCTGTTAGTATAAATTCCTGGGGACTAGGAGGATCTCAGAATCCAGAAGCATCCCAATTCCAGATCACAACTCCTTTTCCAGCTACAGAAAAAGGACTTTGCGCTGACACACTGTAAAACATTACTGTCTAGACACTGACATTAGATGTGCTTAAAAGTTTTAATGCTTTCTCACAAATACTATAAAGTAATGTGAAAGCATCCACTCAGATGATCTTATGCCATATTTTGCAATAAATTTATACTCTGTTCTGAATACAAACTAAATAAACCTAATAGTGCAGATCAAAATTCAAGTATAAGAAACAGACTGCAGGCAAGATGTTAGACATTCTTCCCCCATTTTCACTTTTTGTTTTTAAATTATATGTCAGTTAAACACTCATTGGCTTCTGTGTTGTGTTTCATATTTAGTGCCTGCATCTGGAAAAGGCAGCTGATTAACAGTACTTTCAAACCACTAACTAAGCTTTGGCTTAAACCTCTTGATCTTTCTGCTGCAACAGCATTTTGTCTTCTTCATTCTGCAGTTTCAACTCCTCAAGTTCTTGTTCCAACTGAGCCTGCAGAACATTTAAGAAAGGACAAATTAGGAGGAAAAAACCCCACATTCATCTTCACCACCTCGTTGTTTACAATGTATTTGATGATTGAAATCTTGAATAAAAAAAAGGAAGCATAAAACGTAACTGCACTGTCAGTAACATAAAGCCCTTTTGGTTTCATCTGACTCAATGTTCTCATAGGTTTTAGACTCACATGGATAGAAAGGTTTTACTACCAAGAGGAAGAAGAAATAGGCAACTGAAGTTAGTGTGCACACTTAAGATACTGTCTCATTCTGCACGCTCTTCATCAGTCTATTTTCATTACCTCCTATACTCTGGGTTAAGCTCTGATACTTTGTAAGGTACATAGCACAGACAAATAAATCTATATAGAATCAAATCTATAGGACAGATTGGTAAGCAGCGTCACTAACATTAATCATCTTTGCCAGAAACTTTTAATATTTCCAATCAGAAATATCCAACACAAAGTGTTTATTCTCTGTGAGCCTAAGTCCTATTGCATCAAAACTTCAGAAACTGCATAATCTAAGTGTTTACATTCCACAAACAACACCAAGGCCTAGAGATTACTGTTTTCTGTAGCATTTTGTGAGCAGTTACATGCTGGGTTTGGCTGGGGCAGAGTTAATTTTCCTCCTAGTAGCTAGTATGGGGCTGTGTTTTTGCTGCAAACAATGTTGATATCACAAGGATATTTTAGTTATTGCTGAGCAGTTCTTGCACAGAGTCGAGGCCTTTTCTGCCTCTCACCCTACGTGCGAGTGGGCTGGGGGTGCACAAGAAGCTGGGAGGGGACACGGCCGGGACAGCTGACCCCAACTGACCAAAGGGATGTCCCAGACCCTACGGCATCATGCTCAGCACATAAAGCTGTCAGAAGAAGATGAAAGGGGGGGACTTTCTGAGTGATGACATTTATCTTCCCAAGTAATCTTTATGCGTGATGGAGCCCTGCTTTCCTGTGGCTGGCTGAACACCTGCCTGCCGATGGGAAGCGATGAAGGAATTCCTTCCTTTGCTTTGCTTATGTGTGCAGCTTTTGCTTTACTTATTCATCTGTCTTTTTCTCAACCCTTGTGATTCTCTTGCTGTCCCACCACGAGAGAGGGAGGGAGCAGCTGTGTGGGAGTTAGTTGCTGGCTAGTGTTAAACCACAAGCTACTACAAATATAGTTGTATCATAGAATCATAGGTTGGCCTAGGCTGGAAGGGACTTTAGAGATCATCTAGTCCAACCTCCCTGTTGTGGGCAGGGACGCCACCTCTCGACTAGACCAGGCAACACATGGGGACCGAGCAGGAATCACAGTAACTAGTTTTTACATTCCTTTTTGGTACATGTAATCAAACATGTCTGAGTACCTGACTATTGCCAAAATTGTGAGTTAGGTTAAAAAATGTGTCTAAGGTGAGCATTGTTCAACACCTCTCCAGCAGTTTACACTAAATAACTTCTTAATTCTCTGTGAATTATCTCTAGAAACAGCCTCATATTATTGTTTCCATTTACTATTTTAAATGACTCATGAAATCCTTAAACACATAACTTTTGGTCTGCAAATTAGTAAATTTCAAATTTAAGAAGTGCAGATGAAATAAATGTATTTTACACTAGAACCGTGCTTAAAAAGTTCAGCATAGATTTAAAATTACACTTTGATTTTAACATAGAATCATAGAAACATTCAGGTTGTAAAAGACCCTTGGGACCATCAAGATCATGGAAGTCAGCCAGGTAAAAAAAAAATTCTAGTCACATAACGTTGACGTTAAGGAACACTAAGGAATTTAAGATGTGGTTAAATTCACACAACTTCTTTATACCAAGTAGGCAGAAACAAAGATTTTGTCTTTATTTCTCATATTTAAAGTGTGCATAGTATAGGATTCAAATTTCTTTATGCCAACAGAGTGTCCAGGTAGCCAAGGAAAGAAAAAGACACCTCACTGGAACAGGCTACACATACTACTTAAGTACGTAATCTTCATTCAATGATTCTCAACCATTTTCAGGACTCTATAATTGTATGTACATTCTCCTTCCCTTTTTTTGCATTACTGATACTACATTAAGTCACCTGAGACAATGATCAGTTATTACTCCTAGACCTCCTAGCAGAAGACTGTCTGCTTATTTTAAGTTACTTCTCACATAAGTCTTAAACTGGTTGCTTTTTACCCTAGGCTTCTCCTTATTTTTTTTACTGCACAGTATCTAAGCTTTCCTTCTGCTCTGCTGACTAATCATTTCAGTTATTATTTAGAAAATACTTGGGTTTTGTTACCTTCTATCAGAATAATTCTGCAAAGGTTAGAAGTATACAGAGAGCAAGATGTCACCGCATCATATACTATTTATAGTTATCTATTATTAAGTATTATTAACCTGATGTTGTTCTTGAAGTTTCTGCTGGATCATTAGCTCTTCTTCTTTCATTTTTCTTAACATTTTGAGTTCTGCCAGGGCCACCTCTCGTTCCTGTTCCAGCTCAATCCTTTCCAACATTCTCTATTTCATAGATAACACAGAATCAATTAAAAAAAAAGTCAGAGATTAAATAGCATCAATTATATTGTCACAACTATTTTTGCCCAAGATGGAATCACCTTTTTTTCTTCATCTAAAATTCTTCTGTAATTGTAAATCCAATGTGCCAGATACGCTATTGGATCTGCTGGCCGATGCTCTACAACCTCTGCCAGTCCCATTTTCAAGCAAGTTCCCAGGCATTGCTTCAGATACTGAGACTCCATTCAGATCTGCTAACAACAAACAGACAGCCATTAGCCATCAATGTCAGAATTAAATTAGGGGTTTCAAGAATTATTGCCTCAGGTGCCAAATACAAAATATAATATTGCTGGTTTTATTAACCTGGCAATTAACAGAGAAAAAAAAAAAAGTCATTTAAATTTAATATTGGTTTAGTTCTTAACAAATCCAGTGATAGATCAGTTACACAAGCGATCACTCTGGACAGTGACGAAAGGCACAAATCTCTGTGCACACGACGTTTTACCGTCCCAGTGCCGCTAAACATGTAGCACGTCTGACACTCGACTTCTGCAACGCTCGAACACCCGTCCTTTGCTGCCAACGGGACCGCCCCC